TTGATCTTTTAAACGTAATATTTTTCCTTTTATTTCAAAATAATTTGCTATTAAATATGATAAATCTTAATCAGTTAAATTATTATTTAAAGCGATTTTTTTAATTTGTTTTTGAATCTAAGAATTATTGTTTGGCTCATATATTTTTTTTTTTTTTTTAAGTTATTTTTTTTTCTTTTTTATCTTTTTATATTAAGTATTTTTTATTTTGATTTTTTAAATATAATTATGATTTATTTTAATATATATATATGTATATTAATGATTTTTATAAATATATTTATATTTTTTATTTTTTATATTTATTTTATTAATATTTATAATATTAATATTTTTATTTTTTTTAATTTTAAATTATTAACTAAAAATTAATTTTTTTATATTAATATTTATAATTTAAAATTTTATATAATATTATATTAATTATTAATATAAATTAATTGATATATAAAATAATGTAAGAAATCGAATACAATTTAACTTCATAAAGTGACGAAGATGACGAAAAAAAATAATAATCATAAGATTTATTAAGAGAAATGAATCATAGATAATATAATTTTAATATGTATTTGACAAAAATAACAGAAGAATAAGATTCGTAATAAAAAAAATAAAAATAAAAATAAAAATTAAAAATAAAAATAAAAATAAAAAAAATAGTGAAAAAATTATTTATTGTCTTCGTGAATAAAATAGTAAATTAGCTTCTGAATTGAAATTTTTGAATTTTAAATTAAATGAAATTCTGACAAAATAAAATAAAAAAAAATTCGTAAAAAAGTCATTAGATTAAAATTTTAATGATATTTAAACAGTTTAAAAAGAATTAAATAATGCTTATAAAAAAATAGAAATTTATTAAAAAGAAAACAAATAATTATAATCAAAAATTGATAATAATTCTTTATAAAAGTAAATATATATATATATATATATATATATATATATATCTTTTTGTTTTAATTAAAAAATAAAAGGGTTTTACATTTAGAATGTTAATTAAAAGAAAAAGATATATAAATTCAGAAATAATAAGAAGAAATAAAGACCTTACAATAACAAAATAGAAATTTAAATAAAATACCAGAATAAATTCCTAAAGAAAAACAGCATATTGTAATAAAAAAAAAATCTTATTTTTTTACAAAAAAAAAAAAAAAAATAGATTGAAGACTTTGAAAAGTAAATAAATGTATTATAATAAGAAAACAAAAAGCTAAAATAAAATTAAGAAAATCAAGAAAAATTAATGATAAAAAAGTAAGAATTTTACATAAGTTTTGAAAAAAAATATAGAGAAATATGCGAAGTATTAGGAATTCCCTCAAATAATAAAGTCAATATATAAGAAGAGTTAAAAAAAATTTAAAAAACACATAAAAAAAATGAATAATAAATAATAAAAAAATAACTTCCATCTTCTATTATACATGAGAATTTACCAATAAAAATTCGAAAAGAAAACAAAGGAAAATAGAATATATGCACGAAATTATTTGATGATAAAATATTAATAAAACATCTCGATTTATATTAAATTAAAATTATAAAAGTAAATATATGGCATAATAAAAAAGTAATAAATGGCATATAATTTATTTATTAATGCAAACAGGAAACTATTTAGGGAAACTAAAATGTAATTTTAAATCATAAAGAGAATTATGAACTTTACGAATGTACTTTTTAGAATAATAGTTATTTAAAAAATGTTGAATGTATATTAAGTGATTAAGGATATATTCAAAAATTAAAGTTGGTTTCTTCTAATAAATAAGTTTTTTAAATTGGAGGAGGAAGTTGTCTTTAAGATGATACCAATTAGAAAATTAGCAAATTTAATATTGATTATTGTGAATTTCCTGTTTGTGGGTATGTAGGGTTGATTATGATTGTTGGTATTTTTTTTTTTTTATTAATATTTATATAAAATTATATAAAGATGAGAATAGATAAGAAACGGGTAGTATTTTAGGTTATTTAGGGTTGGATGTTATTTTTGATTAAAAATATAAGTTCTCTCATATTGATAGAGAAAATAAAAATTGAGTTTTTTTTTTTTTAAGTTTTTAATTAATATATAATGAAAATAGTTTGTTTTTTTTAATTTATTTATTTTCTTTATATTATTATTTTTTGTTAAGTATGTTTATTTTTTATAATATAATTTATACATTCAAAGGAAAAATATAAGATAATAATATATTTTTTTTAAAAAAAAAAAATTAATATAAATAAGATATTAAAACTATTTTAATTATTAATTATATTTTTTTTATAAAAAAAATATTCATATAAAATATATTTAAAACTAACAAAAAATATAATCAATTTATTGAGAATTTTAATTAAAATAAAATAAATATTTGTTTTTATTTGATTTTAGATAATTTATTTTAATCTAAAAAAATAAAATTAAATAACAATAAACTAAAAAAATGGAAGAAGAAAAAAAGCCAATATATAATTCTATTGTATATTGGGTAAAAAACATATAATTTAGAATAAATTATATTTTTAAATTTTTAGATAAATTTATTAAATGATCATAAAATACATAAAGAACCTAAAATAAAGGATATTTTAGAATTAAAAGATGGAATAATTTTAACATAATTATATAATTTTTGGTATTTTTTTTTTATATTGGAAATAAATAATTATAATAAAAAAGTGTTGCTGAAAAATATAAAATAGACGAACAAAACATATATAGAGTAGATTTAGAAAATTGGGCATTTGCATTAAAAAATTTAAACCTATTATATGATAATGTACAAACTTATAATACAGAAATATTATTAAAACCAAATTTAGAAATTGATTTTATATAAATATTTAATGAAGACAATAGAAATTAATTATTATAATTAGTAAAATATATATATATATATATATATATATATATATATATATATATATATATATATATATATATATATATATATATATATATATATATTATAATTTAGATAGGAGAAGTATTTGCTATTATATTATAGACTGATTATAAAATTAATTTATTACTCCAATAATGGATTTAGAAGAACTTCATTAAGTAGAATTAAGTCATTTTATATCATAAATATTGAAAGTTCCTTTATATTCAGAAAGAACTTTTAATACAGAAGAAGATTATTATAGTGGTAGTTCATCAAAAAAGGATTCTTTTTCAGATAGGAAAATCTTGCTTAGAAAAATAAATGAATTAGAAAATCAAAATTCTTAATAAAAATAAAAATAAGATCAAATCAAATAATAAAATTATTATTTAAATGAAAAAAATAATGGCTTGTAAGAATAGATAAATCAAAAAGCATAAGTTATTGAAAAACTAATTAAGTAAAAAGATGAGTTTTTAAAACAAATTGGAGTAAATGATTACGAAGAAGTATTAAAGGAAATAAAAGAAAAAAGCTAAATTATAAGTAATCTTAATAAAGCATTAAGTGAATAAAAATAAGTTTTATAGACTACAATTAATAATTATAAAGTATTTTTTTATATTAATATATATATTATGAATATATTATATATATATATATATTTACATATTTTTAATTTAGGAAGAAATCGAATACTTTGAAAAAAATATGGAAAGATATAAAAATTATGATAAGATGGTTGAAGCTATAAAAACATTAAGCGAAGAGAATAAATATTTAGATAAAAAAAATTAAGAATAATAAAAGAAAATTGAAGAAATAAAAAAAGGAACTAATGAAATTATAAAAAAAGACGAAAATAATACATTTAAAATTTAACAAAAATAACTTATTTCTGAAAAAATTTAAATATAAACTGAATTAACTGCCAAATTAGCTGAATTAGAATAATTATAGAATGAGTTTAATGAATTATAATCTACAAATGTTAAAAAAGATGAATAAATAAAAACCTTAAACAAATAAATAGTTGAATTAAAAAATCAATTAATTGAAAAAAATGGTGGTAACTCAGGTTTCACATCACCTTTTAAGAATAATTTATAAAATGAATTTAATGATTTTGTAAGTAAAATTGAATTAAACAGACTCTATAAGAAAATTTAAAAAGCGAAATCCGATACTTTTAATAATTATGATTATTTTCCTTCAATTGGAAATGAAAATTATATTTAGCTTAGTTCTTATGAAAAAGAATGTATTAGTGGACATAAATATAAATATGATTAATCTTCTGTTAAAAATAATTCGAAGTTTTTTTATTTGATTTTTATTTTTTTGTATTTTTAATTATTTTTTGTTGTTAGATTTTATTTAAGTTCAGATTCGAAAATGTAATTTAAATATTTGATTGAATAAAATGATTAACTATAAAAATAAGTTTAGGTTTTAAAAGAAGTAAATATTTTTTTATAATAATATTTATATATATATATATATAAATATATATATATATATATATATATATATATATATATATTAGTATATATTTTATCTATATTAATAAAAAAAGAGTAAAGGTGTTGAAAAAAATAATTAAACTGATTAATAATTAATTAAATAATTAAAAGAAAAAATTAATTATTTAACTTTGGAAAATGGGAACCTTGTATATATTTTTATTTTATTATTTAATTTTTCTTTAAGAAACTCTTTTTAATTTTTTTAAAAAATAATTTAAGGAAGAATATGAATAAATGAAAAAAGATTATAATAAACTTAAAAAATAATATTAGGCAATAAAACTAGAATCTTAAGATTAAATAAATTATTAATAAGAAGAAATTAAAATTCTTATTACATCCTTAGAAGAAATAAGAAATTCATTGTTAAATTAAAAATAAAATTGATATAATTCTAAAATTTGCAAATACAATAAAATAAATATATTTATTATTTGTAATAAAAAATTATAAAAAAAAAAAAAAAAAAAATTAATTTTAATTTTTTTTTTTTTTTTGATTGTAATAATAATTAAAAATATTTAATAAATTTAAATATTTAAATTTATTTAAGAAAGTTAATATATTTATTAAAATAAAAAAAATGATTTTTTTTTGCTTTGTTTATTAATTTAAATTTTTATTATACTTTTTTTTTTATATTAAAAAATAAATAAATATTCTTAACTTAATTTTTTATTATATTTCAATTTTAAATATTAGTCAATAATTTTTATTTTAATCAGAAATATCATAATGGTTATATTCAGTATTTAAAGGAACTTAAGTAACTTTATTGTCATCTTCTATGTAAATATTAATTTAATTTTTTTAATTTATATCAGAAACATCTATTGGCTACTATTTTTTTTTAAATTAATTTTTATCTTCTTAATTATTATTATTATCATTAACCAAATATTAAAAAAAATCAAGATTTTATTCATTTGATAATTCATGGTAAACATCCTTATTTTATTACGCAAGTTCGAATTTCCAAATTATTTTATTCCCTTTAGAAAGTCCAACCGTTATATTCTAATCTACGATTTAATCCCAATCATATAATTAGTTGTTTACATATAAAACCCATATTTTACCAGTATAAGGTTATCTAACATTTTCTATTTAAATATCTAATAAACGATGACAATAATAATAAAATCTGTCGTCTTTTTTATTATATAGGGATGTAAAACATATATCTATTTATTAGTTTTGGAATAAAACTTTATTCATTATTTCTAATATCGATTCTTGTTATTTATTTTTAAATAGATCTATGTCATAATTTAAGGTTATTATTTGATTTTATAAATAATTATGTATTTGTATTTATAAGCAATTTGAGTTAAATTTATCTTTGATTGATGTGCAATTACTTATTGGAGTACATCCCATTTTTATATATAGAAAAGTTAATATATAATATTATTATTTTTATATATGAAATTTATATATTATTTTATGACTTTTTTTATTATTTTATTTTTTTAAATAAATTTATATTTAATTTATGTCTAATCGATATAATATTATACATTTGTATTTACTTTTTAAAATAATTTTTTACTAATATTTTATAATTAATTATTATTTTTTTAAAACAAAAAAACCATATTATTTAAGGAAAAATATATTATTTCTATTATAAAATTAAAAAAAATCTAATTTAAATATTTATAATAATCCCTTATCTTAACAAAAAAATTATAAAATTAAAATATAA